CGATTTAGCGTTATCTGACTCGAACCCGGAGACGTGTGTGAAACAAGCATCTGCGGGCCAAGCACAGGCAACGACATTCGCGTATACTTCATAATTAATCTCGCGTTCGTCGCTTATGTATCCTGATAAAAGCGGGGGCAGCGTGTAGCGAGCGAGGCTTGTGGTATACCGGGGGTGGGGCCCGCTTAGCGTCCATCGCTGTCTCGCTAGCTAAACCCACTCGCTCTTTTTTTTAGCGAACCTCGGAGTGGCAACATTTTTTCCCATTGTGTCTTCTGTACTAGGCCAGGCACGACGGGCTTGCTTCCAGACAGAATATGGACATTGCCAATTCATCTCGTCACGGACCAATTAAGAAAGATGCGCCCCCATTTTGTCTCATCCTGGATATTATGGGGGTCCACTTACAAAAATGAGATCATTATTAATTCTGACAGTTACCATGGTTACCTTTTGAACTTCGGCAGCTGAACTGCCGGCTTTGTATGATAAGCCAGATGAGGTTTTATGATCACAAACTGGTTTTCGAACATTTTAATTCACTGACTTCCATCGTGTTTTTTTTTAATAAAGAAACTTCAACCCTAAAACTTGCAGCCGGGGCCTGTTTTGTGTTGTCTCCCAAGAAAAGAAAAAAAAAGATTAGTACACTGTGAAGATTTAAAAAGTAATGTCAAGTCTACGTTTCGAGGATTACATCATGATCATCTTTAATAAAAGAAACCATTCCGAGGAACATGTTGAGTAACTTGAACAACGTTGCATGCAAGATAAAGAACAAAGTGGAATACAAAAAATAGAAACCATAGCTTAATTTAGTTAGACTCATGAAAAGGAGGAAAATGCGAGTAGCAAGTAAGAACAAGTGGAATTTGGTAATGCAAAAAGTACATAATTCCTTACGATTTTGGGGATTTCGGACCGAAAAGCAAGGAAAATGACATTTAGTGCAGGCTTATGTCAGAGAAACGGGGAGAAAGCAGTAGCAGGCCGACCCCTATAGCGTTAAGTAGGCCAAGAATATTCGTTTTGTAAGTCATATATTAGTTGGAAGACAGCACAAACAAGACATGCCCAGGCTGCAAATTTTATTGTTAGTCAAAAACAATTTCAGGAAACAAAGACATTTTGGCAATCGTCTGCTGGAGTGGACCCATATTAATAATTGTCCGCCTGTAGCTAGCTCCGTCACAGTTGAACTCCTCGGTCACCTTTTGTGGTGTGTACTGTGATTGATTATCTACGCTGCCGACGAGTTTTTGATAACTCTCTATAGATTTGCCTGGCTGATCACTGCCACCGATAAACATCATTCAACAAAAAAACCCAATATTGTTTGCTTCAATTTACGCGCATATAATCTGGAGGTTTTAAATTATCATTACACCCAAGATAAGCTTTCGAGTTCCATAGTTAATGGCGGCAATGATCCGTGATTTCGTTCACTGCACAAAAGCGCGGGGGGGGGGGGGCTGTACAAAGTGCGGTAAAGTTAGACCCCAACACACAAAAATTGGGCATGAATTTTATGTTTGCGTTCATAAATATTGTGAGGGAAAACTTATCAGTGTTTGCCAAACATGCACTTGAACGCGAGATAGAAAGGAACAAGTGTTTGTTTTGGTTGTTGGACACGCTGGGCCGAGGTGGACGCACCTGCTGCATAAGTTGAGACCTTCCTGGTTCCTACAAGGATCCGGTAGGATTCAGTTGATGCTTTAGCTATAGCTGAAACACTGCCTGCATTATTGTCATCAACTTTCTACCCCTGAGTTTAGACAGAGACGCGCCCCCCTTCATCACTCCTCAACACCTTGTCATGATCACAGCGAATTGTCGCAAAGTTTAACCCGAGTACCACCCCTTAGATTTCGGTCTCACTCCCTGCCAGACTCCGCTGTATGATATCATCACCCCTTCCTTGAATTGACTAAGGGGGGATATTCTCGCCCCGGTGCACCAATTCTCTTCAACTAGTCAGTAGGACCGGGCCGCTTGTTGGACGGCGCTGTGCAGCTGCCCACAATCGCCACAAATAATGCAGAAACATCCATAAAATGCTCGGGATTTTTTGTCCGGGATAAATGAAGTCGAAGGGTGCACGCGCGTCGTGTCTTACGCTCGGCTTGAGCTGCTTTGTAGCTCAACAGCGGCAGTGGAACGACGGGCGACCACCGCCGGTCTTTGTCTGATCGCGTGGCTCGCGTGCGTCAACACGAGACATACACAATCTATATTGTTGGCAAATTACACCATTACGCTGTTGAGTTGAAGGGGGGAGGAACACATACAGGGGGCTGGAGATATCGCCTTTCATAACTGTCACAAACTAACAGGCCGTGAGGGGGCGGGGGGGGGGGGCAAACGGGTCTTCCTTCTCAGCCTATGGGGGAATCGAGGGGTACGATTTCCAGTTGGACACACTACACTGCGAGCAATTTACGGGGTCTTAAAGCGATAAAGAAGTCATGAACTTTAATAGCTTGAGTTCCACAGGCACTACTGCTTGAGAACTATAATGTTAGACAGAGAAACATCATTGCCACTTCAAGATGCAGTAAATACACAAAGTTACTACCTCAATAATCGATTTCAATGATAACTTCACCAAGTATTATTTGACTTATCTAAAAGATAAATTGGAAAATGTCTGTTTTGATAGCGCCTAATATCATTTAAAGATCTTATTAACGATTGTATATACTTTAATATTGAGTCCAATGATTTTTATGGCATGCCTCTGTAGTTCATACATCTGACACACGGTAAGACTAAAATAAAAAGTAATCCCCAAATGACGTAAAATTACCCTAAGTTACGCGGCTTTACGCCTCAACTCCTCCATCTCCGACCTGAGGGATACATTTCTTCTGCAGCCCGCTCTGTCTCTTTAACTTTTACCTACACACCTCGGCTGTATGACGTCTCGCACGTGGCTAGACCCCGGGGCCGCACGGCCCTCACTTGGGGTGGCACGCGCTGTAGCCTCGGCCGCACGCGACGCGCACAACCCTCCTCAAGATAATCCAAACACGGGTATTTTTTTCCCCGAAGTTGTCATATTTACTTTAGACTGACTCTCTGTGTGTAAACCACGTCAGATGATATAGAAACCAAAAAGAACACGTCCGTTAAGCAAAAAAAAAAAAAAAAAAAGAGGCCAAAGTCCGAGAACAAACTATTATTATCGCGCCAGACAAATCACTTTAAAGCTTATCTACACCTGACGGCGGTAAACAAGGAAGACGAAAAAAAATTGCAGAATATTAAGGCTTAGGTTGACAGCAGCTGCACACGCACACATCAATGTCGGAATGCTTTTATTTCACACAAGGTGTAAAAAAAATCCACACAATGGAAACTTGAGGCGTGGAGCAGAAGGATTTTTTAGTTGAATAAGCTGATTGTAAGACCAGGTGTTGAACATTACAGTTTATTTTTATACCATTTTTTTTTGGCATATCGGGGAATCAAAGTATAGCCCAACAGCGTCTTGTGCCAGATCGGCATACAAAAAAATGTGATCCAACGCGTAACAATTACAATTTACATTTGAAAACTTCACTGATTGTTGGTGTTACTAATCCTTTAGCACACAACGCCGTTCGAGATCGCTTATAATCCCGTGATCTGATCAGGCATAATTAGGATGCTGATACCAAACAAGCTGCTGATACCATAACAGCTATAGCCACAGGCGGCAACAGCGAGGTAGACTCTTCGTTTTTGGAACTTGCGAGTAGAAATGAAAGCAATGAAATAAAAGTTCATTCCAAAAATACAAGTCTGCTCTGATGCATAATTTAAAAAAAATGTGGATTAAACATGCCCTAATGTTTAAGCCACATTTAAAAACAAATTGAAAGTGAGGCTCGGCACGCATTCCAATCATTAAATAGTCTGGCACCATTCCATTCAACAGTTACAATTTATAAAATAGATTCAGGGAACACGATCGAAAATGGCTCTCGTGTGAATAATGTCTGTTTAAGTTTATGCACGATGGAATCGTGATATCGACAGCAAAAAGTTCAAACTAAGAACTTCATTTTCCGACAGATACGCCATTTAGAGCCATAGTTTGAAAAATGTATTTTGCAAGTCGTGTCTGTATTGCATGATACAAAACCCTCTTAAAAATCACGCTCCTCTTTAAATTGAACATTTAATACTAAGACAATATTCCTTTTAGTTCCAAAGCTTCGAAAATCCGCAAAATGGGATGCCATTTTATGACACATTTTAATTTCAAATATACCAGTTCTTCATGTCTGAATTGTTTTTCCTGGATATTTTTGTATACAATATCATTGTTTTGTCTTTGTTTTTTTTTATATTTAAACTTTTTACTTCCGATATATAGAAGCAGGTGTCTCTAATAAATTGTTTACTGTTCTGTAATACGTTACTTTTTAAAAATTGTTTTCTATCAAAAGCAGGATATAATTTGTGATTTCTTATGAAATCCACATGAGTCCTATACATTATAGTGACTACAATCCCAGGTAAGCATGCCCTAGGGTACCCGTTCCTGTGTTCTTTTTTTAATCGTATTTCCTCGCGTTAATGACACATTATTGGATTAGCCACACTTTTATCACATCCTACAGTTACAACCAGGATAGAAGGGAGCTGATTATACAATATGCATATCACCACGCGTCAATCACACGCACTACCCCCATCTTTAAGCCAATCACAGATCGCCGTCACGGTCGACCGACAAACACGGCTTTGGATTGGTCATCTATGGCGAGCGTAATCTGTACACGTCACATACACCTGTCAGGTCACGCATGCGCTTTACCCAGCTGCATCAAAGCCCAATAAAATGAGTGTATAATAACAAGTAGCGGTGCAGTTATAAATATATACATATGCAATCACTCTGCCGAGTTTCAAGTTATCGTTATCCGTTTCTCTTGGCTCACCCCCAAGAGCGCATGCTCAGTTCACGGTTGAATACTCCCACCGTATCACCATCGAACCCCAGAAAAAAAGCCGAGGGAGGTGGGGGAAAGCGCGCCTTTTGTTGAGCGCATGACAACATCACTCCATTCAAGATTGTTTTGTACACGTTTGAATACTGCGGTTGTATTACATGCGAGCGATGGTTGGGGGCATGCCAGGCAGATTCACCGAGTGCATACCCAATCAGTGTTATTGGCATACGGTGGCATTAGCATAATCATGACGTGTGGCCTGCCAATCTCTATACCAAGCACGGCTAAAGTAAAGCTTCAGATTTGACACCGAGTTTAGTATCAACCACTGCTCATGCAACACACTCCTCCTCCACCTATTAAACCCCGACCAAGTTATGGCCTGTAGTCACTTCATCATTTAGCTTTCTCCGGAGTCGGACTTCCAGTTTTGACTTGAACCGCCACTGACTATACAAATCAATTATAGATTAGGGTGACGACTTGTCAAGTGTGTGCTCTCAGTTCCTCCTAGTCACATCTGGGAACATCGGCAAGTTTTACTGGACACTACTAGTTCTTCTTCTTTGATTGAGACGTCAAGTGGTAGACTCAAGATGCCGAGGTCTTTCTTAGTGAAGGCGAAGGGCAAGAAAGTCACCTATGCCCCAGCTATCAGCATGGATGCTGAGGCCAGGATGGTTAGTGCGTTCACGCCGGTAACACCAAGGAAAAAAGGTAAGACTGATCCAAAAAAACCCCACCAACTCAGTTATACAACTTGTTTCATCAGTGTTCACGTATTTGCAAATTTCAATCTGATTATCAAAGGAATAAAGACTGTTTCAAGAAGCAACGTTTATAATAGTTGAGCTTTTAATTTAATTACAAAAACGTGGAGGTTTGAAGTTCTAATGAGGGATTTGGTTTGGACTGTACTTTTCTTAAAAAAGGAATTCTTTTTTATGAAGTATACGGTATTCCTGGCAGTACTATAAACCAGTTGTATGGACTAGAATACATGTAACATGAAAATGTTTCGCGTGAAACCTTTTCCGTTTTGGGGGACGAAATGTAACCCTCAGACCAAGTGTGATTTTTGTTGAGTGAAAGATAGTTGACTGTGCTGAACCACGGCTTCAGACTATAAAGAAGTAACTGGCTGAAATCCCGGGTTTTAAATTCCTCGAATTCTACAATGGATTTAGACTACTCCCCAGTCTACGGACTAATCTTTTCCCATTGCATTGTCCATTTCCAAATCCGTTGAATCTTACTTTATCAAGCCTGACCGTCACTTGATTTCAAATTGTGAGAAATCAAAGACCGAAAGTTTAAATCCTTCAAGTCATAATCTCTTCATCTCTAGAAATCTGAAAATCCCCCTTCTTACGCAACTTTGCGATCCCCAAATTCAAAGAAAAATGTGTTAAGATTTTGGAGACCCAGACCAAAAAGCACTGCGACTTTTACCAAGTCCTTGTAAATAAAAGTGTAACATCAGAAAAATATGAGTTTAATAATTTGTACTGGAACCTGGTCAAATCCGAACTTCATTTTTGCACACTTGATTAATCCTTAATGGGTCATGTATTTGAAAACTATTTTAGCTAAAAATCCCGCATGGTTACAACCGGGTTGCTTTTTCCTCCCTGATTGTCGCTTGATTTTAATAGTCAAGGTGCAGGGTACAATCATGGCTCAATTGGGGGTTTAGTGGGGAACCACCGTTTGTGCTAGGTGCCTGATAGCGGGCATTCGGTCCGCTGGTGTTGTATGCACAGCTTGCCCAGTTTATCTTGTAATGGCACGCTTAACACCCGTGGATGGCAGGTGTAGGGGGGGGGGGGGGCGCACAGGGCGGGTCCCTACTCCAGGCAGACAAAAATCATAAATCAAAGCAGATACAATCAAGACAGACGCCACTCTTCGTATTTCTGATTTCGAAGACAAGTATCTGGTTAAAATAATTTGAAGTCGGTTTCATTCGCAGAAATGCAATTAAACGCAAGGTTATATTAACTGCATTGTATTTGTTGACTGTTTGGTGTACCAACATATGGTCACATACGTACGACGATTTTTCTAGCATCAACGGATTTACATGCATCTAATAACCGTGGTATTTTCTTTCAGCATCCAAACATTTTTGAATTTAGAATATAATTTACCGAGCTTGTCCTGAAGTGTAACGACTTGTTTTCTCCTGACACCTGTTGGATTGAATACAATTATTCAAACCATGCGATGTGTTTATAAATATGGCACAAATGCACATCACTATATTTCATGCTCATCGATTAATATAAAAAATATCAAACAGTTTCATTTTCAGCCCGTTGCTACTTATGAAAAAAAATAGAACGTGTATGAGTTGTAATAGATTAGTCACCGCGTGATTTTAGTCACATAACAAATCGTTGATGATTATGCATGGTTATTCTTTACTTGAATATTTTTTTATTCCATTTTGGTCTGTGATTTCATATCTAATTTGGTCACAAACTTGAACATATGTAGGCCTATGCATTTGTTTCCCTATTTTAACCGATGATTTTTTTTTCAAGCCATATTGCGCGGGCACTGCGTAGCTTGTTTTTTTTTATTGCCCAAAACCTCGAATGCATTTAGCTCGGTTCAATTTGCAAAAAGGGGCACTAAAACGAAACGACGATGCAATCATACAATTGCGGGTACTGCGAGATGTAAGTGAGCTAGGGAAGCCTTTTTGTTCATAGCATGACCCATACCCGCATTCCATGTAGACATACCATTAAGTCTGATTGTCTTCAATTAATTGGGGGGAAAAAAGTAAGTCCATTAGCAACAAAGACGCAAACAATACCAGGGTAACAAACTATACAAGGAATTAACAATGAGTTGTTGAGAATATTATAATTCTTGTAATTATTAACTTTGAAGTTCTATTCAGCTGATGTGAACTGAACACAAAGGCGATGGAATCAGTTTCACGGAGAATAGCTTACCAGAGTTTTATCTTCGAGATAATGATGCCGCAGAACGTTATCAACGGAAAACACAACCATATCGTTAATAAAAAAAAATTAGTGTTTCACTCACATGTCGAGCCTATCAAGTTTTGCAAGTCAGTTTTGATGAGCCGGCTTCAGTATCAATTAAAGTGTACACACACATAAAAAAAATACAAGAAAATGTACATTTTGTTAAACAAAGAGTTGGGTATGGCTGTGGAAACAGGTTGTTACATATTAATTAATTAATTAATTAATTACTGAAATTAGTGTGAATATTTGCAATCGCTTATAATACCATGAACATCAATGTTCATTTCGCAATAATGAGTACACACGTGTACATTAAGGTTCTGATTTGTGTAAGTTTCGTTTCATATTTTTCGTAAGCCTTTCAAGAAATCCAATGTTGATATGTACATCATTCCTCGACTGTGTATATTATGACTCCATAGTTTGGTGTTGTGAGATTCAGGAGGGATTCTGCAGGTGTTGTACATATGTGAGCCAGCATGTATTAAGATGACTTGTCGAATAGGGACGGGGTTAGCGATTGTGTCGAGTGCATGGTTAGTCATTTGTATCTGGCCAATCATTCCAATCCCATTCCGTCCTCTCCAATTCTCAGATAGTGTGTTTAGCACGGCCTTATGTCAAATTCACCATCTACACATCACTAGATTGGACGGGGGATTTCTGGAAACCATTCCCTCTTGTTTGTGTTCATCAGAAACTGCCGTTTTGGCCGTCTCGCCCGAGTGCTTCGTCGACAGCCAATCCATTTCACCTTCTAGTTTTAATAAGGTTTTTTTTCTCTCTCTTCCTTCGGTTCCCTATAGAGCTAGCCGTTGGTTGCGATGTGGAGATTGAACGCGCGGTGACTATCGGACCGTACGAAGCCTCAGCGGTACCGGGCAAGCAGCACAGCCCGACACTGAGCATCGACCATCGACTGCTCGAGATGACTGGCGTGTCACCGCCACGACTGCCGCTACCGGGACCGATCACCATCTTGCCCTGCTCGCTGCCTCTGGGTTACCCACCGCAGCGACCCTTGAGCAGTCCCAATCAGAGATGGCCGAGTGAGATATCCAGCTACGATATCCCTTCGCCGCCCGCAAATGGTAATATCGATATGTCCACTTCTCCACATTGTCGCAGTTTTATGGGGAGTCGCAGTCATTCCCCGCTCGCAAAAACCTGAACTAATCACGGGGAAAATCAGTCTGCAGCCCAGCAATCACCAGTAGGGAAGTCCCATACGGGTGATTCTATCGTAGAAACGACAATGCAAATTCACAATCACACTGCACGCCAAACTGCCAAACGAGGCTCGTTTTTAGTAATGGTTTGAGTGCTTTACAAATCTGAATTATCGCTAAGAGGGCCCAGGGGTCTGATGGACCAAACAACGCCGAGATCCCGGCCCGTCTCGCGGCTCGTTTCCCCCCGTCTGCTTTCTCGTGATCAACAGCCAGCACCGACTCGACTGCGGTGATTAGCCTGGCGTTAACAGCAGCGGTGCGAGTGCCGTGCGCAGGCCAAAACCAATTATAAGACTGGTAATTACTTAACCAAGTTGCAATTAGTGATTGTACATATGGGTGCTGATCATCCTATTCCATACGCTCATCTTTGGGTCATGTGAACTATGTACAAGTTCAGGCCGGCTCACATGATCTGGAAACCATCAAGTTGAAGGCTGACGCTCACAATTACTGCACAGCAGAAAAATAATTAAAAACTGGAACAGCTTATCTTCTGTTCCACTGATGAGCAACATACACTTGTCGTTTCAGCAATCACTCATTATCTCTTCAAAACACAAAATGTTTTCGATTTCTTTGATGCACATTTTCCGACTAATTAACATCTGATGATGATGACCATGATCTGATGTTAATGATGATTAAACTTCATTTTAACACCTTGTTGACACTGCAGTAAAAAGAAAAGTTGACAAGTAAGTGCAGGACACCTACTTAGATGCACCTGTAAGTTATTATTAATCAAAACCGGTTGTCAGCTGAAAAATCATGTTTCGCTTTCTTTAAAGTCAGCAAAGCATAGCCGTATGTTCATATAAACCAATGTCATCAACGCTTGGTCGCCTAAGCAAAAAGTTCCCCAACACGCAATAATTTCCCTGTATACATTCCTAAAATCCAAGACACATAGCTTAGAGACAACCTCGTAGTTTTTTTTTTATCTTTTTATTTTGAGGTAGGAGGTTTAATGAAACTCGTTCGCTTCTTCGTGCATGACTGGCTGGTTGATGGTGGAGAAACGGCTATACGCGGCCGGCCACGGACGCGCACCACCGACCGTTACAGATTTCGTTTGCTCTTCTTTTTTTTTATTGGGAGGTTTTCTTTATGAGAAAATCGCGTGTCAGCATTCAGCTTTTGGGCCGTGATTGTCTCGGATACGATCAATTAACATGCACCTGTCTTGATGGAAAAAACAGGTGTTGATATGAAGGAATTACTGGGCTTGCAAATGATATTTAACCGAGTACCCTATACAGATCATTATGAACAGGCTTAGATTTAATTTCATTTTCAAATAGTTTTGTTCTTCTTACTGCGTTTTTTGCGAAGAATGATTTTTTTAAAATAGATTTCCTCAGATAAAATCCATGAAACCCAACACTCCTAAAAACAAATACATATGGTTGACCCAGTTTGCTATTCAAATTGTTAAGAGCTGTGCACCGCTTGTATCTGACTAGGCGATTTAGTCTCAAATCGGCACGCGTATTTAAATTCACGGCAAACTTACAAAAGTGTGGCCTGCTCATGCAATGTATGATTTTTATCTTTTACACACTGTGTATAGATTTTGATAAAGACTTGCTCACTGTCGTCTGACTTGAGTTAATAACTCACCAATTAATGATACCGGGCAGGCGGCTCAATCAAAGACCGGTGCTCAGTGAAGTTTGATAAGGTGTAATTGGATTTGTAACACAGGCGTTTAATTGCAATTATTCATTTAGAGGAACCTTGCGGCGTCCTTTTCTTCTCCCCTTCCACTTTGATTATTTCAAATCATGCCAATTTCCCCGTGTTATTCTACGCAATGCCCCGGAGTCCTTGGCTTCACTCGGAGTTCACACGAGAACAGACTCTGAATCTTTCGGCTTAGTTAGGGTATCACTGCGGTTCAATGTGGTCTCAATCGTCACTTCTTAATAAGCCGTTTAATCTTTCAACTAATTTGTTCCAGTACATCCGGCTTGGGAAGTACATCGACATTACATATTTTAATAATGCAAAGCATGATTTAACGGGTTTTTAAAAAATATTTTGCTTCCTATTCTCTTTGGCAGGTTTCATCAGCCGTGAGATATCGGAGCTTCTGAAAGACGGCCGCCTGAGCTACACCGACGTCTACAGAGCTCGCTTCGCGCAGATCGAGAAAGATCTCCTCAAGTCGTTCTCCCTGGAGGATCTGAACTGGTACCGGGCCAAGCTCGGGGTGAACGTGCCAACCTACCACCCGACCTTACCCGGGGCGGGAGGCTTCAGACCGCATGGATTCGTGGGAATGGAACGCCCTCCTCTGCAGAGAAGATTCTCGTCGGATTCCGAGGAGCTCCGTGCCGAGAGAAAGTTGTTTTCCCCTTCCCCGCCCCTCTGTGGTTCCCCGGGCCAACACGGCACATACACCTGTCTAGACTGCGATAAGGTCTTCAGTACGCCCCACGGACTCGAGGTACACGTCAGGCGGTCTCACTCGGGAAAGAGACCCTACGCTTGTGACCTGTGCCACAAGACATTCGGACATGCCGTCAGTCTGAGCCAACACCGAGCAGTCCACAGCCAGGAGAGGTCCTTCCACTGCAAGCAGTGCGGGAAGACCTTCAAGAGATCGTCCACTCTATCCACTCACATGTTGATCCATTCCGACACCAGACCCTACCCGTGCGAGTACTGCGGAAAGAGGTTCCACCAGAAGTCAGATATGAAGAAGCACACCTACATCCATACAGGTAAGAAAACAAATAGCATATTCTTTTGAAAGCTTTGCAGATTACATCAGTGGTGAGTGAGAGATTAAAACAATAACAGATTGTCACTTTTATTTAATTATCAAAAATTTCCCCTGTTAAAATGTGTACAAGTAGCCTAGTTGATTATGTGATCAGCCTTTCCTGAAAACCACATTTTTTTGCACATTCGATGAGACTCTCACGAGTAATTGAAGACATTCCTAAAGACATGAGTAATGAGATAATGCGCCAGGAATGAAAATAAAGAAGGAAGTGAAAGATTATTGAGAGAAGGGGAGCACGTGTTAGTAGCCGGATAAGGTTGCGGTGAAGCTGTGGTGTGAAGTCAAAGAATTGGTAGAAGGATGAGGGAGGATGTTAAGATGTAATCCTGTAACACCGAGAGAGAGAGAAGCTTCCCACAGGAAATAGCCATGTGAGAAATGCCCGGGGCAGGAATTAGGTATCGACCAAGACTTGTAGCACCCAAACAAAAATCGATGGGGGTCTCATCTGCACCCCTCGCATTCCTTGGACTAGTTACTCATCAATACGCGCGTATTATGGCTACATCCGAGCCTTTAAACCATCTTCTATCTTGGCGATCTTTTCATTCTTGTCTTGTCATTCATCTTGGGGTTCTTGTTATCCCGGGAATGGATGTCTTAAGACTTGTAGAGATCCAATCATTATTAAGACAAGACGTCAACAGGTTGTTGCGTTCTTTCAAAAAACCAACAAGAGTAGAGATGTGTTTTGTATAGGGGAGCTGTTAAGGCAAAGCTCATTAAAGATTTAGGGGTAATGTTTTGGCTTTGGGAGGATGCCTCAGGCTTCTACTGAGCCGGATACTAGCCTCAAGAAATTGCCCGGGGGGGGGATACCACCCCTTTTAGAAGATGGAATATCTCAAGCTACTTTTACTAAGTAATCAGTCAGCCCTTTCAAACAAAAAACTCCGTTCCGCGAACTCTCCTGAAACTGTTCCCGAACAAACGAGCAATCACGGCTTTTCTGAGATTTGTTGTGGGCAGCTTTTCTTGGCGAGTTGCTGACCACAACGGTGTCCAAATCCTCCCCAGACCGAGATGCTAACATGAAAAGCAGTTGAAACCACAGAGAAGAAATAAACCCACCCCTGTGTCTCATCTTTTGTACTTTCTTCCTCACTCCATGTAGTTACACTCTCTTTTCAATGAGCGTAACAAGCAGGCCCCGTAATGGGTACACTATCCCTGTTGCGCCAACTACAGCAAAATAGATCAAGCTTAATCGGTTGAAGACGGAGGATTAGATGGGGGTAAAGTTGGCTTAAAGGGGGGTAACACAGCCTACCCCCAAAGCACTTAATCTTCTCAAAGGTTCAACAATAGCAGGGAACTGGGTGCAGAGTAATTCACGTGAATGGGTCGCTGTTGTAATTGATGTTTTGTGTCTCATGGAGGACCTGCTTGGTTGCCGAAGTCGCTAAAAGTTTTCGTGCTTGTCCAGTTTCTTCAACGAAACAATGTCGTACCGTCTCCCATAGATACAGACCAGTTGATTGATGCGACCATTTCAAGTTGGGTTGGCAGTATAAGTAAAAAATAAAACCACAACGATACTTTGTGTCAATCCTTCGCTTTAGAAAGAAGAAAAATACCAAGTAAATTGTAGACTTGTTAAAATGCTATGGAAAAATCACCCTGAGAAACCCACAAGTCTAAACGACATGTGGAGACCTTTTTTTTGGTTTAGAGGGAATCATTTCGTAAAATGTATGCAGCTTTTTTAATAGATTCAAAACTCTGTTTGCGGGAACAATGCGACACCATACGGAGATGAAAGTGACATGCTAATATTCTCACCACACAATAATAAACGTTTGATGATGCGCGATATATAACCATAAAGTAAGACAATTAGCATATTCCGAACAATTCAATTTAGCTTAGGGTCGAAAATTAAGGTGTTTTTTTACTGGCTTCTGGCGCCTTTCAAACCCGCAAGTTTGCAGATATTCATGAACGCGCCCATTTAAAATGGGCATTTTTTTTGCAAAATATAAACAGATGGTTTTTTTTATTAATAAAACGAGTGGAAACAAGAAAATATCTTGATCTCAAAGGATCAATACACAAAAGAATTGTTCCACTATTAACATAATTATTGTAACACATTGGAATGTTAATAAGATTTCGCCCGTATGTTTATTGAATTGATTATATGCGTCGATGATTTTCAAGTCATGTTATTTTTTGTATATCAATAAGAAGGCTTAATCTTTGACTCAGACACGCTGGCGTCCTCCTCCATGCACGCTACAACTCATGATCTGAATTCAATAAACTCTCTACATGACATATCATGTTACAAATAAAGTAACTATTGAAAGAAATCGGTAGAGTGGTTCAGAACCTTTCTTTCAAAACTAAATTCTTTTTTTGGCCGTCATCAAAGTTAATTCCTCATCAGCCCTTTTAATAGATGGCTTGAAACAAACTGAATTGCCAGGACCTTTATGAAGACAATGTAAATTTGTGCACAAATAAACCTATGGTTCCTCCATGTATAAAGTTGGATTCATAAAACGTCGGGGAAGAAGCACTACACAACATACGTTCAAGGAAGCATGCATTTAATGAAGGACAAGATTCATACAACAGTCGTTGCACGGTTGGTGTATGGGGAGTTTTTGCACTGCGTAATTCAGGAAGCTACTGGTGCGATCTTAAGTGACAAGATGAGTATCATCTTGCGAGGAGGATGAGGAGAGGCGGGTCAGAAGGAGAAGATAATTGGATGTGGACATGAAACTGATAGATTAGAGGAGAGAATAGTGGTGGGATAGGGATGGAGTATGGCAATCAAGTCTTGATTGGAACTGGATTGGTGTGTGGGATGGAATCATGCTGGGTTTTACCAAACCAAGTGGATTCCTGAAACATTTTGATGGCTGGCATAATCACATAATTGGCCTGGGATTTCACAGTTGGAAAGAATATCGTTTCACATATCGAAGTTGTCTGGTTTATGGGTCAAAGTCTTCGCAATTTAATACAGGGCCACTTTCTACAAAGAGAATAGGCCAGCACCTTTTTGTTAAAATGTTACAATTGCATTCGAACGGGGTCCTTTCTTGAACAACTTTCATTTGATTTTTTTTTCAACTTGTCGGCAGTTGCCCTTTTTTGAAGAGACACTCGAGCTATGTAACGATTTGGCCATTGTATAATTAGTTTCCTTCACTGCTTCATCTACTCGAGATCGACACGTCATGCATTATACTCGTCTTCAAACCCTTCCCAATCATCCATTATTGATACCGGCGTGTCTCGGTGTTCTTCGCTGGGACACTTTTTCCAGCTTTCTTCAGCGGGCTGTCTTCGGTCGATCGGTCGGACTGAGAGACCGACCATACCGCTAGGGTGGTACCGCTAGGGTGTCTAGACCCGGTCCCACACAGTCCCCAGGGTCTGGTTAAGACATGGTGATAATAAAAGAGGGGGAGAAGACGGTGTGGTGGTAACGAAATCTCGCGCGTGCTCGTGCACACGCTATAAACTCGCGTGATATTTAAAAGATTGATGGATCGGGATGGATAGAAATAGGTCGTGGCTATGGAAATGATGAAGAATAAAAAAAAAAAAATCGGCGATTTGAAGAAGTGCCCGCAATTTTTGGTTGATGAGGGGTGTTAGGAATGGCCATCGGCTGGATTCGTGTAGATTTGATCCTTAGTCTTAGTCCCCGTATGATTTATTTTTCCGCGGTTTCTCCGGCGATGAGGTGGCTATTTTTCGTCGGGGCATCATTCTGTTGTGATTTTTCCAATTCGCAGTGCAGGGGTGTTTTCATATCGCGTTGTATATAAACCCGAAGCCCAAGGCAAATTTGCCACCATCGGCGCGCCATATAGTAAGGAGCGCCGATTACATGTTCAATCTTCTCCCATATGTCAGATCTACAAAATGACTCAACATATATTTCATATTAAAGGAAAACCACATTTTTTTACATTTTTTGTTATTACATATTGTGGTTTAATACACATAACCCTACATGACCAGACGTCTACCTGATAAATCTACGAACTACAGATCAAAAAGGTCGATGTACTTTTCCCAAAACCAACATGGAGACACTTTCTCACATAAATTATAGGAATCGATCGATAAGCATACCCGTACAAGAACCGCAACATACAACTGCATCAATTTCTTCGATCAGTCGATTAATCGGAGACATTTTTTTGCCAGACAAAAGTCTGAACTCTCAACTGATCGTGTCGTATTATGAAAACAACCCCGGCCATTTCGCTACCCTCACTTTTTCTAATCCTGTCTGGATTTTCGACTTTTAGAGTCGGTCTGAAACAAATTGTCTTCTTTGTTTGTGCATTGTGCACTTTTGGTGAAGGTTTTGTTCATAAATTAAAAGTGTAAATTGTTCTCTCACGAGTCACAAAATGATCAACTCAATTTAGAAGAAAGATTATCGTGATGATGAAAATGTGTTGATGAAAAATGCAGTCGATCTGTTTCAACGGAGGTGACGAATGCAAGAGGCTGTAAAATTGATTCAAAGTTGCTGAAAGATCTTTGCTCTTAACATCCAAATGGTCCTTGTCTGTTTTCTGCTATATTAGGCTAGCTTGCATCTTTGACCCATAGTAACAGACGGCACGTTATTATTGTTAAGGACTTAGCATATATTGTCAGCCATTGCACGCCTAAGTTAGCATGCAATATCTTGCCTGTCTCAGCGGGCCAAGCTACCGACACGTCCCATCATAAAGGTTTACACCGCCACGGCGACGTGAGACATCGTATCTGTGACAACGACATTCCCTTTCGGCAGGTGGCAAACCCGACCGAGCAGAACGTCGACAACCCAGTCAGAGCTCACCGCGCCGGCCACGCTAAACTCCTACCGGTAATTCTACACAACACACGGCCGGGCAATGAGCCTGCCTATCGGGTGCCGCAGCTGTATGGCATTAGTTACGGCAAGACGGTTTCCCTGAACTCCCTGGAGTGGCCAACGGACACTTCCGTCCCCGTCACAAGTGACTTAACAACTATTACTTAAGACTTAAGACGCCCCTGTCTTCGGATCGGCATCTTCTTGATTCTTACACTTGAGAAGTGTTGGCTTTTTGCTGTTAATTTGTGCATGCATGAGGCGATATGCTAGCGAGCGGAAGGGAGGCAAAGGCGAGATGGGACGGACTGGGCATAGTGGCAAGACACCTAGAAGGCATGCCGCGAGGCGGGTACACACGCGCCAACGACCCCGCCAACAGAACGGGGGCTCTGCACGCTAGAACACCCTCCCAAATTGGTTACAACCCCCTGTTCCCGACCAATTTGGTTGAAATCCGTGTAAGTGTGGCGCTGGGAGACGAACCGACATTGGAGATGTTGTCCAGGAAAAAAAAAACATCTGGCCCAGAATTTCAAGTGCAAATGTTCAGACAAAATTATCCTAACCGTTCCTGTCTATTGGCAAAGAAAATTTCTGAGAGCAAAAAAATAAAATGTTATCCGAACATACCGTTAAATGCTATTGTTGAAACGGACAGATTTTTATCCAGTTTGTTTTTTACTATCCGCACTGTAATATCTTTCCTCGTTTTGAGAGCACTTGTTCCACAAACCAAACTCGCCAAAAATAGCAACAGTGATTTTTTAAAGTTATATTATTTTTTTGGTTAACAAAAAATTTATTACCCGCAGCACACGCTTGAACAAGTTGAGGACGAACCACCGATGGTTCTCTAAATTACGATAAGTTTTTGAAAGGAGGAAGTTGCAAGAAATCGTCAAGATTGAGGGCCCTTTGTTTGGTCACACCGGCTTCATTAGTCCGATATTTTGGTTTAAGTTTCGCATCGATGATTGAACGGTGTTATTTCTTCAGCTTCTTGCCATTGTATTCTAATTGTGTTATCGGGTTGCGAATCATCGAGGACTCGGGTGAAGTGGAGAGTGTTTGGGTGTGTTTGTTTGTTTGTGAATGGAAGAGAGAACTAGCGATGTTTGTACGAGAGGACAGACCACTAGTTAGCGAGCAGTTTTGCTTTTGGTGTGACTCCAACAATAATTCACTGCCCTACATTTATTGAGGTCTAATAGATAACCGATTAATCGACTGATACTTATTAATAAAATCAATTGATCATCAATCAATCCAACGATATTTGAGATCGATCTATTGGTTGTACCGATTAATCCATCGATAATCGGATTTTTCGATTGACGATTACCGATTGTTTTTTGAATCACCAAAACTTAACAAACAGAATGATTTATAATTTTTGTTCCATTTTTAATTTTATCTCCGTGCATTAGGTGAGAAACCTCATAAGTGTCTGGTGTGCGGTAAGGCGTTCAGCCAATCTTCGAACCTGATCACCCATAGCCGTAAGCACACGGGCTACAAACCGTTCGGATGCAAGATCTGCGGCCGTGCCTTCCAACGTAAGGTGGATCTCCGCAGACACTTCGAGACACAACACCCGGACCAGGAGAGAGGGCCCGCAACCATGATCGGGGTACTGGCCATGTGATGGGAGCGTGATCACTGCCTGGTCATCGCGTGATGGGAACGTGATCACTGCCTGATCATCGCGTGATGGGAACGTGATCAGATGGACATGATATGGACATGATTCAAAGCGACCGTGATCTTCACGAGCAGTGCGTCACGTTTAAAGGAACTGCGTCACGTTGTCACGCACAATGCCACGTTGTCGTGCATGCATAATAACGGTGTTACGTTCCATGCGCATGCAATGCGTGAACCAACTATAGGTGCATTCAATGCGCCAAATACTGTGAATAATAATGTTGAAAGTGTTATATAATTATAACAAATAAATATGCATTATAGTGTAAGTAATGTTTAAAATGAAAGTGGCTGCACAGTTTTCCTTTTTTTTTTGAAGTGGAATAGTCGGTAGCATGGGCCTACACTATTGTGTCAGCCAATTGGAGATGGAAAAATGGAATAATTTTATGAAAAGTTTGGTTTGTTAAAGTTCCCCATGCACCTGTAGACACTATTACGAATACATATGATTTTGCTCAGTTTTTACAGATCATCGTTTATATAAGGATTTGTGAAACGACTATAGTGTTCAGGGAATTAATGTGAGCTGTGGATGGATGGATGGAATGCGACTTGAGATGCAATATGGAGAACGGGAGGGGCGGGGCTGCAAGAATAGGAGGGCGGGGAATAACGAAGAGATGGGACGATTTGAGATGAGTTTTGAGGGAAAAGAGTGTGTAATGTGTTTGCAAATAAGAGACTGTATAGGGGAACATAACTGAAAATCAAAGTTTAAATTCGAGTTTCTGTTCAAGTGCAAGATTTATATACGAACCTATAGACAATCACAATAAAAAGCAATTCCTTATTTGATTATATTCCATATGGTGAATCTACGCTTGGGTTTATTTCTAGGCTGAGATATTCAAATAAAGAAATTATCAAAATAATCCACTGTAGATTAAACTGACAAAAACAAAACTGCTGCTAACGTCATGTCGAAACAGAAAGCTTGCACAATCGGGCCCGATGTTTGAATAGCCAGATAAGAATGGTATAGGGACCCAAAACAGGTGCTCAACGAACGCACATTTTCTCACAATGCTTTTCCCTGGGATGGATCATTTCTTAATATTCGTCTGGAATCCGTGGGCTGATCGATGCGACGCTGGGAAAATCTAAATTAATTACTAGAGCAAGATAATCATGAGTAAGAACTCACAGAGCGGGAACATTATCAGCCTCGTATTGGGCAAACATTGCACGAACACACGATATGTAGAATGCACAGACATCTATGAAATTTCAAAGCAAAATTTCCACCGATTGGTAATTGCCTGGCCGGGCTTGATTTACGAAAGCAAACAAAGCAGTTCTCTGATATTAGACATTGATTTTTTTCTTTCACCAGAAAAAAAATGCCGAGTGGTTGAAAATGAAACATAGGGCCTATCGCCTTTTTATGCTAATGATGGGTAAATACATGGCACCGAAATTGGGTGGACCTGTTTTTTTTTAATCACTCAAAGATTTTCAATTGAACTCGAAAGATTTTGAACTGTTTTTCTTCAACAAACAAACCAACAAGTAAACACCCCAACAAGTAAACAAACAAACAAGTAAACAAACAAACAAGTAAACAAACACCCCCCCCAAAAAAACCCTACTTTTTCTTTTTTTGTTTAGTGTTCATGGTGATCTGTGACACCATGCAGGGCGCTGTTGCTAAGATATAGATTTAGGACCCGAAATACAATTACATGTATTTGATTTTCCTTTTCTTTTTCTTTTTACAAAAAAGGACCTCCAGTTTTAGTCGATTGCAGAAGTTTGCTCGTAGATTTTTCACCGTGTACATGAATGGAACTAAGAGACACACGCAATGAATTGCCAAAAAAAACCACCTGCATCAAGTTTCTTATTCTGGTTCCCTGACCTGACAATTTCCCCCGACGTCCAGACGTCTCATCAGGAATAGTCAGAATCGTTTGGTCTGGGAACCAGACTTCAAGTTTCTTTACTCATACTGAAAACAAGTGAGAGTGCACAATCAGCTCTGGCCGTTTTGCAAGAAATCTTGCATAAAAAGTCTTGCATGAAATCGATCGAAGTGATCCCTGCCAGAGCTGTAAAATGCGACGCCGAAAAAAAAATATGGAACACCATATTACTGGTCAATTTTCCAAGGACAGACCGACCGACCGACCACCAAGTGACATGTAGATATTATATTTGTCGAGTTTTGAAATTTGATCAATAGAAAGTAGCAGTTATAAGGGTATGAAGTACAGGCCACGCACGTGTAGGGCCTGCTAACATGAGGGCTGATTTCTGTTCTTTCAATAACCCGAGGAGGTGAAAGACGGATACATGTGGGTAGGAAAAGGATAAACTACGGTGACTTTTGTTGTCCTGCAGAGCCGCCAAAATGATATATTTTCAAAGAATAGGCACAAATGTGAAATGATACTCGCGGCGAGCCCAGGAGCATTGTGAAAGGACATCAGTTCCTATTTTGCCCCCGGGCGAGTGAGTGGAAATGTCCCATGCTCGGTGCGAAGTGAGACTGGCGTCTAAGTTAGCTTAAGTCGTAAAATTTCAAGTCATTAATCAATTTTTTTCCGGGGGGGGGGGTTGTCTGATGAACGTGAAAACGAGAACATATGCAAGTAAACAAATCCCCCCCCCACTTTTTCTTTAATTTTGTTTAGTGTTCATTGTGATGTGACACCATGCAGGGGCGCTGTTGCTAAGATATAGATTTAGGACCCGAAATACATTTTTTTTTTTTAACAAAATAGGACCTCTAATTTTAGTCGATTGCAGAAGTTTGCTCGTAGATTTTCCACCGTGCACAGGAATGGAACTACTTGAAGAGACACACACAATGAATTGCCAAAAACGTGCATCAACTTTCCTTACTCATACTGAACACATGTGAGAGTGCACAATCAGCTCTGGCCGTGTTGCAAGAAGTCTTGCATGTATGTCTTGCATGAAATCGATCAAAATGATCCCTGCCAGAGCTGAAAATGCGACGCCCCCCCAAAAAAAATGCGACGACGATGGTACATATGGAACACCATACTATTGGTCAATTTTCCAAGGACAGACAGACAGATAGACCGACCACCAAGTGACATGTAAACGCTCATGCCAGAGCTTAAAAAGATCGGAAACAAAGATTTGCCTTGATTGATATTATTTTTACCGAGTTTTGAAATTTGGAGTGAAGGATGAGCCATCATTTAATCAATAGAATGTAGCAGTTATAAGGGTATGAAGTACAGGCCACGCACGTGTAGGGCCTGCTAACATGAGGGCTGATTTCTGTTCTTTCAATAACCCGAGGAGGTGAAAGACGGATACATGTGGGTAGGAAAATGATAAACTACGGTGACTTTTGTTGTCCTGCAGAGCCGCCAAAATGATATATTTTCAAAGAATAGGCACAAACGTGAAATGATACTCGCGGCGAGCCCAGGAGCATTGTGTAAAGGACATCAGTTCCTATTTTGCCCCCGGGCGAGTGAGTGGAAATGTCCCATGCTCGGTGCGAAGTGAGACTGGCGTCTAAGTTAGCTTAAGTCGTAAAATTTCAAGTCATTCATCATTTTTTTTTCTGGGGGGGGGGGGGGGGGGTTGTCTGATGAACGTGAAAACGAGAACATACGCAATGTGTGTCTGGGCTCTGTTTTGTGCAGTAGGGTGTGGTTTCTCGCGTTAAGAACAATTCACCCCCCCCCCTCAATTTAATGTTCAATCAACGAATTGAAATGAAATACATGTATGTACATTGAATTTTGAGACAAACGGTTTAGGGAAAAGTCTCTTCGAAGACATCTTCCATAAACTATCCGTTGAAGCTTTCTAGTAATTTAAATTCTGAGGAGAAAGAAGAATGGCCGTATTGCGCAAAACAAAACAAAAAAAGGACAGAAAACAATATTTCACTCTTTACGGCACTTGCTACCAGTATCTTTACCCATAACAAATCGTCGCTTTTATCGAGCAAACATTTCACTATTCTTCACTGACACCGTGACACGTGCATTCAAAGCAACTCAAACAACGCGGACAAAAGACACCAGGGATTCTTGAAATCATTGATTTGTCCTTGTTTTGTTACAGTTGGTGGAAAATGCTGGTCGTTTGATAAAAACAAGTTGGATATGGCACCGGGGGCAAGCCCCCAAGAAGTTTTTTTTTCCAGAGACGTTGGTTGAGAATATATTTTTTTTGCTGGTGGATTGAGGTTCGTTCACTAAAATTAAAACTGGGGGAAAAAAACCGAAAACAATTAAATTATGTATTTTTTTATCAAGAGTGTCATGCTCGAATGGATGGGAACGAAGATTTGGAAGAAAAGCAGGTAGCTTAGAACTGATGACCTGAGCGTGTGGCAAAAGAACTTGGTTTCATAAATAGACCGAAGTATATACGTTTTTGACATCTGATCAGTGGTGTGTTTTGAATAGAGGGTTTGCGCTTTAAATTTTATGTTCCAAAAAAAAGGAGCCTACAGCACACTAGAACTAAACTTACAATGAGAAATGTACAAAAGTAAAGCAAGTTGAAGATTTTTTCCCCCAAATTGTAATAGGGCAATTTATTATTCTTTGCAATCCATCACAACCGGGAAACAACTAAATACAATTGCAAAGTGGTGACTTTTGTATTAACAAGCACTCCCATAGGAAAACATTTCCTCCGTAACAGCAATGTATATGTATGAATTCATCATATAAGAAAAACCCACAATGGGATGAACGCTGGGTACACGTGCAGGTTCCCATTGAGGGAATTGTCTAAGCTGCATCAGACAGAGGAAATACGTGCATTTTAAACACCCAAACAAATCAAAAACAGGGGAGAAATCCGCATAATACCATGTCCGTCTTAAGTGGCGATATGGACATTTTGTGTTGACAGAGGGGCTTAGGCAGATACCATGGGGAGTTGATTAATGGACAAGTGAAGGTTGGATACGAAGAGGAAAAACCAAAAGAATTTGGCTCATAAATCTGAGGTTGGCCTCATCCTATTCAATCTAGACCAGTCCGATATTTGTATTACGTCTTAAAAAAGGTCCCGCTGCAGATAACAAACGGAGGGGGGGGGGGATATATTTTTTCATCAATTGTTTTTCTTCTGCGGGCTTTTCAGTGTTGGATGGAAATGTTGAAAGCTTTGTATGAGAGAAAATAAAACATGTCTAAAAATATCACAAGCTGACAGTCAGTTTGAAGATACAAATCTTTTCGTTTGTGCACAGTAGTATTGCCTTTTCTCCGCGAATTTGTTGAAGTTACGTTTGCGTACGATGAATGTACATGGTGATTGTACATGTACATGATGGATGTACATGAAGCCCGGTATGCAGCATTGGGTCGGGCAAGATTCGAAAAATGAAGGGTACAATATAGGGTGAGTGACCTGGATTAATGATATATTTTTTTTGTTAAAACGCAATCAAATTTTATACACCAATGAAGTATGTCTTAAAATAGCATGTTCTTCACTCATCTGAAAAAAAAAATACTGAAATTATGCGTGTTTTACTAAAAAGAACCTATTTTCATAACTGTCCTTGGAATAACATTGGAAGCTACTGAGCCAAATGAGAATTACAGATTGCACACAGGCATTCAAATACAAGGGGGGAGGGGTCAGGGGATCAGGGGGAGGGGTAAAGGGGGCAGGGGGCAGGGAGGTCAGGGAGGGGGGAAGGGGAATGGGAGGTCAGGGGGGGGGGGGGCAGGGGGAAAGGGGCATGGGGCAAGGAGGGGAGCGCAAGGGACTTAAGTGCACAAAGTGCCCAGGGGAAAGTTAACGTCAAAAGACAAAGTGCATGAGTCAAACAGAGGATCATGTACAAATCCAAAAATTCCAATTCAATAAATTTCAAACCTTAATTGAGAGAATCATCTTTCAAGCCACGACATTTTGGTTGAATAAAAATACAAAACTGCATAGTTGTAATCTTTTTGGAATCTCAAATTCATAATGTCATGATAGAGTCCTTAAACGCTTGCACAGTAGAAACGCTTGCACAAGTAGAAACACTGACAGCATTCAATCCTTGCAAGGTTTTATGTTTTGAATCCAAAATCTAAAAAATTCTGCCAAAGTTGAGTGTTATGAATTTTCCATTGCTTTGCCTATAACCTCAAACAAAACAGTCATCCCTTCATCACTAATGTGACGGGCATGAATGCTTTGACATGACCCAACTCTGCTAGTCTGTGCTATTCGTTTGTGAGTTGTTCACTACACCATCTACACAAATATCTCACAAATTATTCCACCGCAGAGAGAAAACTACATAATTTACAATTTAAACTTGTAGATTTTGGGTCAATAAACATTTACTTTGAATATATGAAAGGATTCATTAAAAAATATATAGATACTGGTACATTGTGTACAATTTAATTTTATTTTATTCAAGTTATATGTCACAGTTGTGGGTAGAATTTATAAAGAAATGACAGTACGAAACAAAAATGCCTAAAGGGTAAGCAAGGATGGACCAACAAATGAGATAATTTCTAGTTTATCTGAGGTCCCAAAGCCTAAGGCCTCCCTGGTTGAAGTGAATATTTAACTCCTGTCCATCTGGTTCAACGAAAGCATTTAATGAACAGAATACGAAGAGGACACACTGACACCTGGAGTAGTCCCCTGTGATGTCAGCCGCGCTGACTCTGTCCTCCTTACCTCCTGAAGGGGGAGAAGAAGGAGAAAGCGACACAGATGCAGTTTCATCATCAGCTGCCGAGAGTCTCCCAACCCAAACCTGCCAGGAGGGTGTCAAGACAGAATCATAATATCATAATCACGTCGGCCAGAGAGTGGCATGCGGGGACTGACGATACAGGCACGTCATCCATCAATACCGGGGGAGAGCCTGGGATGGGTGGACTGAGGTTGGAAAGACGAGGGGTGGGGATCAAGGAGAGGGTGATAAAAATGGGGGAGATGGTGACAAACAGACAGACAGATATGGTGATAAAGGCATCTCATCAATAAATGGGCCTGGGTTAAGGTTAGGTGGACTGTGGTTGGAAATGGTATGGGAGGATCTTTAGAAGAAGGCAGATGAAATGGGTGAGATGGTGACAAACAGACAGACAGATATGGTGATAAAGGCATCTCATCAATAATTGGGGCTGGGTTAAGGTTAGGTGGACTGTGGTTGGAAATGGTATGGGAGGATCTTTAGAAGAAGGCAGATGAAATGGGTGAGATGGTGACGAACAGACAGACAGATATGGTGATAAGGGCATCTCATCAATAAATGGGGCTGGGTTAAGGTTAGGTGGACAGTGGTTGGAAATGGTACGGGAGGAACTTTAGAAGAAGACAGATGAAATGGGTGAGATGGTGACAAACAGACAGACAGACATGGTGATAAAGGAATCTCATCAATAATTGGGGCTGGGTTAAGGTTAGGTGGACAGTGGTTGGAAATGGTACGGGAGGAACTTTAGAAGAAGACAGATGAAATGGGTGAGATGGTGACAAACAGACAGACGGATATGGTGATAAAGGCATCTCATCAATAAATGGGGCTGGGTTAAGGTTAGGTGGACTGTGGTTGGAAATGGTATGGGAGGATCTTTAGAAGAAGGCAGATGAAATGGGTGAGATGGTGACAAACAGACAGACAGATATGGTGATAAAGGCATCTCATAAATAAATGGGGCTGGGTTATGGTTAGGGGTAGGTGGACTGTGGAGGGAATGGTCTGGGTGGGGGTGGGGGTGGGGTTGGGGCTCTACGAAGAAGCCAGGTGAAGGGGGGAGATGGTGACAAACAGACAGACAGACATGGTGATACAAGCAAGTCACCAATCAATTCACTCTTTGCACACTTCCGCCACGGGCATGCACAGCCTCGATCTGGCAACTTTACACAATGACTATAGCCGGTTCACTGATTCCCGTGTCGTGGTTCAGATCACTGAACCGGCTATTCTTATTGTGTAAAGTTGCCAGATCGAGGCTCTGCATGCCCAATGGCGGAGCATGAAAAAAAAAAAATGGGGGCTGGGATGATGAGGCTGGGGGTTGAAAATATGGAAATGGTCATCTAGCAAACGGAAGATGAAGTGGGTGAGATGGCTACAAACAAAGTGACAGACAGACAGATATAAAAACCACACAAGAAAGTCAGGAAAGGAAAGACCACTCATCAGGTCCCTTCTGAGCAAGCGAAAAGGGATAGCCTCATGTCTTGAAGTAGTAGGGCTGTCCCAAATATAACGAATATCCAAATATTCGATCACCAAACGAATATTCAAAAAGCTGTTGGCTGGTTCAAAAATTCGAAAGATAAAAAACTACACATGTACACACAGGAATGTGATATTATTTTAATTGTAAGGCCAAAAAAAAAAAATTCGGTCTCTGGTCAGCGCGCGCGTCGATTTTAATCATGCGCGTCAATCTTTTTTTTTTCCAAAATGTTCCGCGGTAGCTCCAACAGCGCCCTCTATTGCCGCACCTCCTCAATTTTTTTTACCAAAGAGCACCAAGGAATGGGAAATAGCACCAAGGCAAATGATTGAAAGCACCAAGGCAAATTATGGAGGACACCAATGTGCATGAGGACACCAAAACAGCAAAATAGTACCCCACCTTGTCTGTACAATCCAAGCTTGAAGAAAAAAAGAAAAAGCAAAAAAAAAAAAAAAAAAAAAAAGCGTCGCCGCGTCAATTCCGGAACTTTGGTCTGACCAGAGACCGAATATTTTTTTTTTTTGGCCTAAAGTTGCTGCTCTTTATTGTCAGATGCCACTTTTTGTTGAGAGTCACTTTTTTTGTCGACGGCGGTTCATTATTCCCATCCTTTGTGGGGTCCTGTGGTCCAATGGTTACGGTATTCGACTCGTGTGCCGTGGTACATGGGTTCGAATCCTGACAGGGAACATGGTGCTTGTGCTCTTGAGCAAGGCACTTTACCATTATTGCTTCGTCCTTCGGATAGGACGTAAAGACGTAGGTCCCGTGATTTGTGTAATGCACGTTAAAGAACCAATAACACTTATCGCTAAGAGAAGGGGTTTGTCCCGGTGTTTCTGGCAGTGGCTGCTTCATGCGCTGCAGCACCTTGTAAACCATTATAAAGGTGCTACATAATGGGTCTCATATTTCTAATGTATTTCATTTACTTGTCTCTAATAATAGACATAATTTCCATCGTCTGAGTACCTAATTGTTAGTAGATACGTGCGCTATATAAGACTTCGGTATTATTATTATTCGGTATTATTAGAAGGTAAAAGCTGCTGACAGTTACAAAATGATTATTGCAAAACACTCTTGTGGCCCATAATATCGATTGCCGCATGCAATTTTTAACCGGCGTGCTTTGCGTGCAACTTTTGACAAGTGAGGCATGCAGTTGCAGCATGTGTAAACGTGACTGCCAAGTTTCGAATATTTGGCGAAACGCAGTTTTGAATACTTGAATACTAAATTATTCCAAACTGGACAGCCACATATATCAAACTGGACAACTATATCTTAAAGAGGCGAAGCACACAGACAAATCAACTGCATTTGTACAGAGTCAAAATCAGTAAACACCTTGGCAAAAGTACAGCCCGCTGGCCTGATGAATATATGAAAATATGAGAAGGAGAAGCGCAGAAAACAGATGATGTTACATCGTTAATAATGCTGATGTAATATTAACGCTGATGTCTTAATACAGAAAAGGAGTCTCTTATTTATTGATGAGATGACAGTAATGAATCAGTGAGACCAAACTCCATCTGCTGTGTGCAAGGCTGACTCGCTGAGGCGGATTTAGGCCAGGACAAGGGGAAAACAGCAGCAAATGCAGCCATTTGGGATATCTTTACGGACAATCTTTTGGAAAATTTTATCTTCATTTTTTACGGGGAGGGAAATTTTGTTAAAAAGTCATTGCAGTGGCTTAAAAAGGTACCATTAGTGATCATGATACACTAGACCATTCACGCACAAAATGACAATATTTCTGTCATTCTTTTTGATAATATGTACATTGTCCATCTTGGACAGGTTCCCTTTTTGTACAGTGATGATAACATTGTTTTAAGTCATTTTTACATTGGCACCAGTCCAAATTTAGCCACTGTTCTCATATAACATGTAGATCTACTGGCAGAAAAATGAAAAAAAAAGGCTGGTGAATTTCTTTTAGTAAAGCAGGTTTAGTTGTGCCTTAGGAATTTTCCAGCGGTTACACAGAGGGAAAAATTATCAGATAGGGTGGAGGAAGGAAGCCAGGCGGTCTTCAAGACAAAACAACAACAACAATAAAAACAAACCTTCACAAGAAGTGTAATCATGGCTGAATGTTTTGTCCGCCCATTTCAATTTTTTGGACCACACGGGTTAGCTCTTCCGCACTGGTGCCCATTTTGATGAGAAGGGAGTCTAGAAACAGACGACTGTCGTCTTCCGCGATTGAGTCTCTAACGGGTGCATTGCGCTTGGAAAGACTAAAATAAAAAAGAAAGGAAAAAAAAAGGAATAATTAAATAAAGGTATATGATTATATTGCTTCTTATTAAACGCTGCAGTCTGAAGTTTTGTCACTCACAAAAAAACCCACACAAAACGAAGAAAAAAAAAGTGACTTTTGTAAGATTCTACCTCACACAACGCAAAATGAAACTGAATGATAGCAAATGTAGCAAATCATAGCGCAGCCCTTTCAAATACTAAACTGAACATCGACCTTGAGTGTCCATTAAAAAATGAGGCTTTGTCAGATTTGAACCGTTCAGTGGGGTGGGGACCAATCACAGCACTCTGTAGCCACTCACAACCAATCAGGATTCACAACAGCCACATGCATATTCATAAGCTGCCAAAGCGCATGATGGGACCAACATATCCCATAATCGACTGCAAAAGGTCAACGATTTTCAGACATTCGGAAACACAGCAGGTCACAACACCAAAAGCCGGTTCAAAGAACTACGTACACGGCGAGTTCATCTGGTCTCTTGGTTTATTAGACCAGTGAGCTGTCGTGACAGCGAGTTTGAAAAATGGACTTGGAGCAGCGACGAGCACGGATCTTGGAGGCTGGGTCTGGTGACGAACGACACCAAAGGGCCTAGGCTCCACACATGCTCAATGAATAAGTAATCACCCAATTCCCTCTCTGCAAATATTTAATTGTCATCAGTGGACACGCAATGTGAACCCAAGACATTAATTGAGAAGTCGTTAATCTGATCACGAATTAGCACGCAGAATCTTTTTCGAGGAGGGAGTGAGATTGGGGGGGGGGGGGGGATGTTGCAACCTTGGATGAGGGTCTGTAGGGGGGGGGGGTCAGACTGAGGAAGGGGAAAATGAATTATCCTGTCTACCTCATGGTGTATGAAATGTATGATCATGGTTATAATTCAGAAAATTAATTGGAAAACAATGGAGTGCAGTTTGGTAAATATATACATATATATATGTATATTAAACAGTGGCTTCAATAAACCAGAAATAATTTAAAAAAAAAATGAGGAGTAGAGTCCGTCATATCAATGCAAATGTCACTTGTTACTAAAGTCCTAGAAATGTGTACAAAATCTACGGTAATCAATTGTCTTGTTTTTCAGAAAGTATTTTGTAGCTTCAGTTCTTCCTTAATACTTTGTACTTCCCTATTGTAAAGCAACTTTCAAGTCATGCATTTAAGAAACTGAAAATGAGTGATGCTGAGAAATACATCAATAGGCCGAGGGCAAAACTGGACTTGCTGAACGATGATGAATTATGGGTTTGACACTTTTGATTCAGGGCTGAATGATTGTGCTATGAATGAATCTCTGACCATGCCCGGGAAGAGATAAGACACACTCATGAACCAGTGAAGTGTGGCGTAGACAGGATTGTTTGAGAGGGGGCCTGGGGGTGGGGTAGGGGGACCAGCATATTATGAGGAGACACCAAGGGCGGACCTAACAACAGCATTTCCCCCAAATTTCCAGACCACGGCAATTGCAGGAAATTCAAAAAGCCGGGGGGGGGGGGGGGGGGGGTGGTGGGGGGGGGGTTGGGGGGGGGGAGGGAGGGGGAGGGGGGGGGGGGGAGAGAGATACCTACATGTATTTTAATTTTGGTGCTGTTTTGGCTGACCAATTTATTCACATTACACAAAGTCGTGCAGTTAAGGGATTTAATACTGGGTTTTGCCCCTCAATGAGAAGTAAGAACACTAACACTGTTAACTCAATGTTGTCCGAAGAAAAAAAAACCAACAACCCAAATTAATAAGCTTACTTGGGGACTGGAATGCACACTAAATGTGGGTCATTCCATAACTTTGGGGTCCCAAAGTGTGACTTTTTGTGTCCTTGTTACACCTGACCTGTGTAATTTGCCATTCAAGTACCATTAAAATTGACTTCATTTAAAAAAAAAAATTGTTTTACAGGTACTATGCTTTACATAATCACTATTGCAGATAGAAGGCATCAAAGAATGGGCCCTTAATTACAAAATCTTATACATGTCAGATGTAACAGGGACACAACAAATTTGACCCGAAATTGATGGAATGGCCCATGTATGTTTACAATGCCTTGCCTTCCGGGAACAAAACAAAATAGGCAACAACATGATTTACATATGTGGGGATAAGAGAGCTTCACGGCCAGATAGCACCGGGTTTCATGTTTGGAGTCGCAGACATCTGTTTTTGCCTATTCTATTCACCGACAACAAATCATCACTTAAAGATCAAGCCCCAAGGCTCAAGCACAAATCTTCACTTCGTTAGAATCTTAAGGACATGTAAACACCGTTTGCGGTTGCCGTTCCGCACCACTCTCGGTTGCAATCAGTAGTCCTATCACAGCCTGTCCCATCTCGTCCACCTGACCGTCAGCTTCACTCCCAGATGATCACAGTCAGGCGGAGGATGGGGAAGGAATCAGCAATGAGGATGGCATCATCCCGACGGCATACTGATGAGGAGACGAGAGAGAGAGAGGCGGAGAGGATCGGAGGAGGAATGAGAGGCAGATGGCAAGAGGAGAAGATCCCATGAGAATGTCCGGATGAAGACTCAACACGCAAGCCATTCACAACTGTTGGTGAATCCTTGGAAGTCAGATGGGAGACATTCAAGATAAGGTTTACTTGTACTATGACAGCTCACTTCTAATTAGGGATTGTGAAGTAAGCACTGGCGGATACAGAGGGGGGGGGGGGGGGGCCACAGGGGGCAATCCCCCTTCTATAACATCGATTTAAAGCAAAAATTAAACCAGAAAATGAGTGACTGTTTCTCAATCAATGATGTAGTCTACCCTTACTTTCCAATTAACACGAATCGTTTTTCGGAAAACCTGAACACTATAACCATTTGGACAACAAGTTTGGAAACCTTGACAGGAATGTTAAATTGGAAACAACAAATCACTTAATATAATCATACAATATAACCATAGATTACTTTCACGACAATATTGGAATTAAATGCATGTGACTGCAAGTACATGATCTGACTTTCATCAGAAGAGTACTTGAGTAAATGCTTCAACCAGCGATGAGTAAATTTTGATGTAAAATTAGTACATGTTTGAGGACTATCCTTGAGTGTGAGTACAGGGTAACAATTTACGAGTAAACATACGGGTAAATTGTCCAAGCGAGAAAAAAAATGATAATCTGTTCCACTTTTTAATTACACAATGCATGTAAACGCAGAATTGAAAACAAGATGAAAGAGAAATTAGGTCACAGACAGTGACGACAATTTCTAAATTCAAAACTCCCTGCGGGAAAAACACCCAGGAAAAGAAAGAAGAAACTATCAAATAGACTGAGAATAAAACATGATACGGAATAATATATCTGCTTTTGGAAACTACGGTGTAAAAGCAGTAAAAGCTCTCCAAAATGCCAAAGTATCCCTCCACGATTGCTATGACTTTAGCGTGCTCCAGCTCAACTCAAACTCCCATCACCCAAGTTATTACAGGGAGTTTGCTGGCACATCTGCGGGGCCGGTATCCTTTGTGCATGTGGCTCCACAATCAATCATCCCCCTCTCCGGGGACTCCCTCAGGGGGCTAGTTTTCACAACTAGGGGGCTGCACCACGGAGTTTGCCTAGCACGCTCTCCGGCGCTGGTGGGTGGGTCCCGACAATCCACGCTTTAACAGTTGCCGGAGATGGGCCTTGTGACAACCAAGTGCTCCGGGTAAATTTGCTTTAACGTGTATCGATATCTCGGCACTGCGGCAGGGGTGTTGTTTCCAATTCTGCTAGTTTTGGTTACTGTCGCATGTCGGGGTCATTTTTAACGGATGGGTGTTGGGGGGCTAAATTTGCACGCAGGGCACGAGGGGACGGCAGTGGCTATTAAGTGTCCGTGTGGCTGCTCTGTTTGGGATTGCGAAGGAGCGTAGATCACATCACGGTAACATCTTGGATGACAGGCTAGATTGAGGAATGAGGTGTGGTTTAACTGAGAGGTTATTAATGACAAAGAAATTGACCTCTAATTGCAATCAGTGGGCCTGGGCAGACCGTTCAAGGAACGGATGGAAGCTCTAAAGCCACCTCAACAGTTTTTATGGCGCATTAGTAACCCTCCTGCTGTCTGAACAGTCACGGACATGTCAAACAAAATCAATCCTCTTTCCCCTGCCATGCCTTTTACACCTGTTAGGCTAGTCACCAACAGTCAGGTCACATTTCAGGCAAGCACTGTGACTAGTCAAAGGCACAGCAAGCACTGTGACTAGTCAAAAACAGACAAGAGCTGCAAGTGGAAGGCACAGCTGGCTTATCAATCACCTACAGTCAAAGCATAGCTGTACCAAGTTACATAAACGGTCACAGCCAGTCAATCCTGCCTTGTGTAGGCAGGAGCACTCAACCGTTAAAAAACAGACACTTTGACTGATTTTGACTGAAATGACAACTTTGCACAGAAGTATGTTTGCATTATCTCCACAATTACATGAACAGCAACAACCATTGCTTCCTCATACCATCTGAACACTTTCTTCCCAGGTTTTTTTTATTAAGTTTATGAACAGTTTTATGAACAGTTTGGACACGGTATCAATAACCTTCTGAATTTTTTTTAAAAAAAAGTGAATTTACAGCTTTTTAAGACAGATTTCTGATGCTTTCCTCACACCTGATTGTAGCGATTGGACAATTTTTTTCCCAAAATGTGAGCAGATTGAGCAAAAGCTAAATATCAAATCAACATCACGGTGATCCACTTAGAAAAAAAAAAATCAAACACACCCAAAGAGATCAGATTGAGTGCTGAATCTAATTAACAGCTCGACGATGCGGTTGTCATGGCGGGGTTCAAAATAACTTATTTAGTTTACACATTATTCATCATTGGAGCTGTGAAGACATACAGGAGCCTGAGGTGATAGTTTCATGATGCACAAGCCGAAAGTGTGAGAATACTACGGAAGATTGAGACACTGGAGGGGTTGACTAAAAGAGGACA